ATTCTCTTACCAGCCTCACTTTTTTCCTCGCAGCTTGTTGTTACCAAGAAACAGCAAAACGCAACATCCTCTAAGTTACAGCTTTTACTTCTGACTGATATAAAGTACTGACACTGTAGACTCCTTCCATCAATGCCAAATAAACTTCTTCTTACTGAAAACTTCACCATATCAATGATCACGCACGATTTTTATTGTTTATGTAGACCAAGTCGCTGTACAAATCCCTGTGAATGAGTTGTTACTATAGAAAAGATAACGTATTAGAACAAGCGCATTAATATACAGAAAATGTGTTCCGACCAATCAGAATAGAGGAGCAACATCACTGTGGTATAAGACAATAAAACGTCTTTTAAAGATTATAGTTTTAATAAATTATCCTCTGGAACCCAATGACCTACTCGATCCTTTACTTTTTGGCCGGAGTCATGTTGTTCACCTACGGCCCCATAAAGATCAGCAATAAGTTGAATAACATTGCGCTTTCTACAGTCATGTGCAAAAGCTAACGCTTAGCGCAGAGATCCTCAGCCCCATTATGGGATTTCCGTCCACTGCAGTGCCAGAGTGGTTGATGATAGCTTTCATCCCATCGCCATTTCAATTTGAATTGCAGAAGAACTTGAATTGGAATACATCTATGGAAAGTGTTCCCTAAAATACACTCCAAGATGTCTGTGCCTCAGATCATCTATTCATCCCCTGCAAACAGATTTTCAATAGCTTTAGCAGGAGAGGCTCGGTTTTCCTTACTGCTGGAAATTGTGGGAACGGCCAAAAGATCGGAGGTGCTATTGTCAGACAGATGGCCTTTATAACCCTGTGTTATCATTTCTGGCTCTGTAAGATTAGCAGCTTTTTTTTCACTGGACTAGATTACGCTAAACCTATTGTTCATGGTTTTCTAACCTCTAGGGTCAATCTTGTGGAGAAGAAAAAGAAGTGCTCCACTACTGCAGGATCATATAAACAGTTTAAACAAGGCTTATGCAAACCTTCATTCCTTACCCAAAAGAACCACAGTGTGTATGTTCCAATGTTCCACTGGTCCATTTCAGTCCTTTCAGGTTGACTCCTGCACTGCAGCAGTGTGTGCTAAGGAACGCTTTTATTACTATCTGATGAATATTGCATGAAGCGGAATTATTTCTCTAACAAGCAAAGATACAACATCCTAATGCAGTGTACAAGTCATACACCAAGCCTGGGATCTATTGTTCACCGTTTCTCTGCAGTGTGCACTGGGACGGCTTAATATAAACTTGTTAAACCTGCAGAAAATTATTTAATAACATTTTAAGCTAAGGTATGGTAATAAATTATTTATAATATTTTAAAATTGCTTCCATAAATTATTACTAGTTAAAGTTATTAATCAATTCCTGAACAACAATAAACTGTATCATTAGTAGAAAAGTTCAATATCACAATCAAAAATAAACTTTATCTTTAATATTAAATTAATTTTATTGTTACTGTTTTGTATAAAACTCTTATATCCTAAGCAAAAATAAACTTTTGCATTAATAATTAGTACAAAACTTCAATATCCCAATCAAAAACAAACTTTATCTTTAACAGTAGAGGTACTTTATAATTAATATTTTGTATAAAACTTCAATATCTCTAGCAAAAATTAAGTATATTGTTAATATTTAGTATAAAATCTAAGTTGTGTACTTGACGTTTATACACTGAAGTTTGTCTACACCACGAGTCTGCAGCGTATTGCTTTAACACATGGGTATGCATTCTTTACTGCTGCGATTAATCAAGCCTCATATGCACGTGTTCCTGCAAATAGCTCTTAAAACTTTCAGCATGCAGCATCTGACATGGATTTAAAACAGCAGCGTGATAATCTGCGCATTAACGTAAACGTTCCTGAAAGAAATCTTGATAATTACAACCAGACCCTGTGGAGTTCGAGTGTCGAGGGTCCTCGTGTGATTTACAGCACAACAGGACAAACTAGAGTGAGACTTCAGGAAAATGTCCGAGAAACTTTTTCAACATGGAGGTCAGTAGCTTGCATGTTAAATGACAGCGGACGTGCGAGACTTTCGGTTCCTTTAGCAGATCCAGATGTTGGACCGTGACTAAAGGGAGAGTGGAGTTTTGCTGCAAGCCATGTGTGTGTGTCTGAGAGAGAGAGAAAGAGAGAGCGAGAGAGCGAGTGGGCATGCATTAATTCAGGACAGTAATGGCTGTGATCTGAGGTTCTGTATTCTCTTATTTCACCTTATACATACATTCCCCTCTGAAAGTATTGGAACAGCAAGGCCAATTTGTTTGCTTTTGCTATACGCTGAAGTCATTTGGGTTTGAGATCAAAAGATGAATATGAGACAGATAGACAGACAGATAGATAGATAGATAGATAGATAGATAGATAGATAGATAGATAGATAGATAGATAGATATTTGGTTGCAAATCTCTCCCTTGCTCTACCTGACATCAGCAAACTGTTGCATTCTTCTTTTGTGATGCTTTTCCAGGCTTGTAGCGCAGCATCTTTCAGTTGCTGTTTGTTTTGGGAGTTTCTCTTGGGGGTTTTGGGAGTTGGTGATTGACTTGGCCAGTGTAAAACCTTCCATTTTTTCCCATGATGAAGTCCTTTGTTGTGTTGGCAGTGTGTTTTGGCTCATTGTCTTGTTAAAGTTCCTCCCATTTAGATTGGATGCATTTGTCTGTAAATTGGCAGAAAGAATCTTTCTGTAGACTTCTAGGGAGTAAGGAGAAGTTTGTACCACACACCGACCCAGTTAATAGATACTCACTTAGAAGAAATAGTTCTTCAAGGGTTCTGGAAAGGTTCGTTGGATTAATTAAGGGTTCATAGCTTCCAAAACACTTTGCTGTAGGAAAGCAGCTTTAAGTGTTCTAGCTAGTAAGATATTTGTTGGATAATTAAGAGTTATTTGCTTCCAGAACACTTTGGTGATCTTCTTCTTCTTCTTCTTCTTACATTAATATTATTATGATTATGATTATTATTATGATTATTATGATTATTATTATTATTATTAGCAATTTTCTTTTGGAGAGCATATAAAGATCCAGAGTTCAAAGCAAAGTATAAACGATGAAGCACAATAAGTCCTAATGTAGCACCATGAACTGTACCTATTGATTATATATTTCTGAGATGTAATGCAAATCATGAAAATATATTAAGCATGGTTTAAATCTGGATCTGGTCCAGGTTCTTATACATGTTTAAATCTGTAAATCTCTACGTCGTTATCTGTGATATTTTATAAATGTGGCAGTTTGTTCTGTTTATTCAAGTCGCTTTACTCAAACTGTAGTGTTTTTCTGAGGTAAACCATTGTAAATTCGATTTGAAATGTCACGCCTAGGCGTCCCGTCTCTGCAGCGTGTGCAGACAAGCATGAAATAGGCATGGTTAAGATATTTCATGTTCCAATAAAACTACATCAAACACGACAGCTCTTTGTTCCCGTGCTAAGCAGCCTTCAAGATTCTGAATCCCCGGTGCCGATATAACAGAACTGACGTGATGTTCATGATGGGTCCAGATTCTGCAAGTGAGATGCTAGTCACTGAGTGCAGCTTTGTGCCAAAGAAATGCTGTCATGTCCATATTTCATCTCCTGAATCCTCTCTGTGCTTCCTGTTTGGTTTTCCAGATGCTCTTTTTATCCTGCTGCTATTCAGGACAACTACACTGCATAGAAATGTCTGTCTACTAGTTATTTATTTGTAGAAGAGCAAACAAAGCATCAGCTTACAGTATATAGGACATAGTTGTTATAATACTTTGCATATTGGATTTGAAGGTACATAGATACTTTTGTGAAAAAAAAAAGCAAAACTCCAGGTTTGTTCAACAGTACTTTTTAAAATATGGAATTTAAAATGGCTCCCTACACGTGTCCAAAATACCACATGAAAGTGCATCAACATATTCAACAGTTTCCACATACAGTACATATATGAACAACATAAAATAAATCATTTATACTACAACATACTTTATAGCACAGTGCTGTTGAATCCTGGGATCTGATTGGTCAGAAGGTGTTGATAAATTTTCTATAAAAGTAGCTCTGGCAGTTAATCTAATACATTATGTACATTTCTACATAGAGCATTTAAGGGTTTATCCCAGAAAGACAGCCAAAGAAGCGTTAAGGGTTCATCATCCTAAGATATGGGTTCTAGAAGTTTGTCTCACTCACTTACACAGTTAATACATACAAGCTTAGTAATAAAAAAGGTTCTTCATGGGTTATTTAGAGTTCATGATATAATTGAGGGTTCATAGCTTCCAAAGCACTTTTTTGGAACCTTTAATGGGTTCCCCAGAAGGACAGCCAAAGAAGCTTTAAGAGTTCTAGGTATTAGGAAGAAGTTTGTATCACTCACCTACCCAGATAATACATATTCTCTTTTAAAAAAAGGTTCTTCAGGGGTTCTTTAAGGGTTTATTGGATAACTCAGTCTTCACAGCTTCCAAAACACTTTTGTAATGTTCAACATGAAACCTTTACTTGTTCCCCCAGAAGGATGGCTGAAGAATTTTTAGTGGATTCTCCAGAGAGACAGCCAAATTAGCTTTAAGGGCTCTAGATATTAGGAGGAAGTTTTTACTGCTCACTTACACAGATAATACATACACTCTTAAATAAAGGTTATTCAACAGTTCTTTAAAGGTTCATTAGATAATTGCGGGTTCATAGCTTCTATAACATCTCATTGTAGGGTTCTACATTAAAGGTTACCCCAGAGAGACAGCCAAGAAGCTTTAAGGGTTCTAGATAGTAAGAAGTTTGTACCACACACTTCCTGAGTTATTATACACACTCTTAGAAAAAAGGTTGTTAAAGGGTTCTTTAAGGGTTTGTTGAATAATTAATGGTTATTACCTTATAAAACACTTTGTTGTAGGGTTCTACATAGAACCTTTAAAGGTTTCCCCAGAGAGACAGCAGAAGGAGGTTCAAAAGAACATGCAAACTCCACACACACAGGGCAGAGGTGGGATTCGAACCCACAACCTTGTAGGTGCAAGACAACTGTGCTAACACCTAAGCCACTGTGCCCCCTCATGTCCAAATATGAGTATGCTATTTTTTTTTTCATATTAACTTTGTATTTACATTTCCAGCTGTATAACTTGCACCAATTTATTATAAGTAAGAAATTAAGTACACAATTATGCATTAATTTCTGAGTAAATATTGCACTGTTGCACCAAAATACTGCTGTACAAACCTAGTAGTTTACCTTATAGACTAAAATGCTACTAAAATGTTTCTTCCTCACACATTTTCCAGAGAATGCTACTTATTTCTTATTTTAGATTGTAATGATTTTCTCCTAAACGCTATACTGCACCCACAGGGGTTTAAAATGTCACTAAATTAACGTTTAATAACATTTGCTACTCAGATTTAGCTTCCATAATCACACAAAGAATCCACAAAGGACCTTGGCTTAAGGTTGTTAAATTAAAGACATATCTTCTGTACATTAGTCCTAGGCTACTTAGCGAGTGTCCTCAATCCTGTTCCTTTCAGACGGCTCTTCTCCGTCCAGGCACATCCAGGCTAAGAGCTGGCTTTTACTCGCAAATGTTATTGTTTTTAAATTGCATCATTAGGCTAAATCTTCTTTTAGCTAAGAGACAAAGCTCTGAGATCCTGCGCTAACACCCCATCTGACACACGCACTCGTCTGTACTCGCTCCCACTCGCATTAACACTCTCTCTCTCTCTTTCTGTCTTTGTTTTGTGAAAAGTCACTTAATTCGCATTGAGTCCTTTATCCTTGAGGAGGATTTGTCAGCGGCTGTGACGCGCCGGACAGCTTGAGTAAACACATTATTAGCAGAAATGTATACAGTCACTCAGAGGAATGAGGCGGCCGTAAGCAGCTTGCTGGTGACAGGAGACGTTAATAGAGAATTGATGCCCGGGCCGGCGCTCAGACTATAGCCATCAAGGAGCCGATAAACCGAGCGTGACGTTGGAGAACGCAAGCCAAGGCAGAGGGTTAGCTACGGGCCTGCGTACTTTTACTGTATAGAAAAAAAAAGTAAAAAAAAAAAAAAAACACCATCATTAAGCAAAGTGCAAAATCAACTTCATAAAAGGGAAATGGGAAACAGGCCAGTAAAATGCGTTTCACTGATTTAGCTGTGAATTTTATGCAAACTTCACTGTGGAGACTGTAACACATTAAGCTAATTTTTACATTTTAGAAATTGACCTGTAGTGGTCCACTTTATTTATTATAGTGATCATCTTATTTTATTTATTTATTTATTTAGATGATTTAGTCTTTTGGTCTTTTTTAAACATATGGAAGTATATCCAGTAGTGTTCATGACACACAAATCACACTGAACCCAAACCAGACCAAACTTTTCTTTTTCTTTTTCTTCCTTTGTTTTTTTTAGGTACCTTTATAGCTTTAAACCTAACTGAAGGCACAGCAGAAGTCCTTAATGTCCAATTATGTACCTTAAATCATTTTTAAAGGTACAACACATCCACATTTCCAGGTTTTAAATGTAAGAGTGCTACCTGAGACACATGATACACTTTAGTACCTTTTTTTCTTTCTTTTTTTTTCTTTCTTTTTTTAAGAACATAAACAATAGCAAAATGGAGCTTTGCAAGGATCAGTGAGTAGTAGGGAGTACAAGAAGTTATAGCACAGTTCTGCTGAATTCTCCGTTCTGATTGGTCAGAAGGAAAAGGTGTTGATTAATTTTCTATAACAGCAGCTCTGACAGTAGTGCAGCTCCAAATCACAGGTTTATATTAATGCACTCGTTCTAATACGTTATCTTTCAGAGGGACTTGTATGGCGGACGTGCCACATAAACGGATTTAAAAAAATCGTTGATATGGCAAAGTTTTCTGTAAGGAGACGTTTAGTTAACGTTTATGGAAGGAATTTTTTTAAACGACGCAGTAAAATATCCATGGGGGATTTTGTGTCTGTGTATGTGTGTGGGTATGTGTTTTTAATCAAACATGAGACATTTCTAAAATTTTATTTGATGTACGCGCTGGTTTATTGCGTGTGACGCTGCCCCCTAGTGCACACGTTCATGTTATGTTGCACGTTTTTAGATTCTCAGACGACGTATAAATCATCCCTTAGGTGTATTTACAGACACCTATATGTTGAAACGATGGGTCAGACATGGAGCACGGCAGTAAAGCAGAGTTTAAGAGGCTCAGCGGTATACCCCTTTAATACCGCTAATTCTTATTGTCATTTAAGAAGATGAGCGGGGCAGTGGGTGGACAGGGATGAGCTTTTTTTACTGCAGTGTGCTCAGATTTACAAGCACATCTCTCTCCATCCTACCGTTCAGCATCAGCAATCGGACCGGACTGAACAGCGGGAAAAGCGTTCATGGTTTCCCAAAAGGATGTGGTTGTAGGAGATTTACACGATGATTGCATGATTGGGGTGATGTGTTTCCCTCTGATATAACTTTTACAAATCTGCATGTAACGTCAACATTAAAGACATTTTCATTTTCACAAGTTTCCTTCACAACACTCTGTGCACATTTCGGATAAATCACTTAAAACATTCAAAATCTATGGCACTTTTGCCTGTAACACTACTAACTTACACTACGTCAAAGATTGTATTAATTTTGCATTCATGCATGAAACCGTTTACCATCTCATGCTTGAAATGTCCTTTTCCACAAGTCGTCTATTATTGATTATAAATATAAATGTACATTTTATGTATGTGAACACTCACCCCTGTGACATATTTGGCATATTCCACAAGGCACATGTTCGACAGGAAGTCAGGAATTTCCTGAAGACCATGAGAAGAAGAAAAGTGCATTCTTGCTGTCTTTTTTCCCTTTATTTTCAATAATATTGTGATATTGACTGATGAGGTCACTTTCAAAGTACAGCCTTGTTATCCTAAATATATACTGAAAATTAATTATCAATTTAAAAAAAATACAGTTAATCAAATCACTAGAATGTCCTTAGTGTTCTCCTGCCATTAGCATGGATGCTAGTTAAGGGCACCTTGCGTATTTACTAACTGTATACTAAAAACTTTTTTTAAAAAAAGTGATTTTATTTAACAAAAAAAGGTTTTTCTATATTTTTTACAAGGGCTAAATGGCACAGCAATCGAGAAATCACCGCTTAATAGTGTTAGTGGTGTTAGTGATGACAAACAGAACAGAATTCACTTAAATTTTTCATTCAATTGTTTCATCTTCAGAATAACACAGGAGTCCCAAGACCTGGTATAGAGAATTACTGAAACGAAATTAAGGACACTATTGAAATTGTGGGATTAACATGTCTATTTTTATTCCCCAGTATTTGATTTGCAAGTTTATTTACAACTCGTGTGTCCATCACCTATTAGGATCCTGGACTACGATGGCAGTGAGACTAAATTTCTCTTGCGATAGAAGCCCTGGCAGTAAAGTCATTACCATAAAACTTTGCATAATAGTGACTGAAGCCATAAACTCTCTCTTTCACATACATCATTCATGTGCTGCAAAGACAGAAAGGTTCGGGAGCTCAGAGCTCTGGAAATGTAATCACTGAAACTGGCAGGCCTCCATGTCGCCGTGGCTTGATATAGCGGTGAAACATTTACTTGTGAAATTAATTTCTTAGGCAAAGAACAATGCGAGCGGGTTGAACATTAATAGAAGCGTTTTAAATTGAATCAATGCACGGGGTAATATTTCATATCTTCAGACGCTCTCTTTTTCTTTAGAAGAGAAGGATAAGGATTGAATCCAATTAGCCCTTCTATGTTTCAAAAAGCTGCAGCGGGGAATAGACTCTTAATTGGCCAGAAGGCAATTAGCAGAATTAATCCCGATAGAATTCTGAGAGTACAGCCAGATTTAAAGAATATTCCCCTGATAGATTTATTAAAGGTTTTTTTGTAATAAATATAGTACTTTTATTATTTTCTTATTTAATTGGGGCCTTGTTTGTTGTATGATATTAGCACGATTTTTTTTTTTACAAGTCCCTCATCTAATACTTTCACTGACCCTTATCATAATGGGAGTTAAAAAACAAAGAGGATGAAGAAGTCCTGATTCACTGATGCAAAGATATGATAGAAGACGGCTCTAACATGGAATAATGCTGGTGAGCATGAAAAGAGGAGCGGAAATGTAGAAGGAAAGAGGAAAGAGTGCGTGGGTGAAAACCGATCAAGGTATGAATGGAGGAGGAGGATGAGGTGGAGGAAGAGGAGGAGGAGGAGTAGGAGGAGGAGGTATAGTCATAAAGGCCGCAGTCATAGTGGCGTCCCTATTTGAGCGAAAATCCAGATCGTCTCCTGGGGCACAGGGTTGCTCTCGCTCCCCCATGCTCACTTCTGAGTGCTGTTTTTGAGCCACTCTCGAATCCATGGCTAAATGCCCTGCATATGGAAAATGGATGATAACGATCATGGACGAGCACAGAGGGACTCAGATCGGCGGGAGTGACGAAAAGAGGGCAATAAAGATGCAAAAAAAACAAAACAAAAAAAAAACAGGAAACGCCTCAGACCGGCTAACGCAAAAGCATGCATTTCTAACCAGCTAACAGTGACAGATGATGGTATGCTCAATTTAGTTTCTTTATTAGGATAAAGGAATGTACACTGAAGGACAGGAGTCCACAGAGAGCTAGCCGCTAACGTCCCATATGAGATACAGACAATGTCAGTGCTGTATACAGATTAGGCCATGTCCTTCGCTCTCTAGGGGAATTAAAGGAGAGTTGACACCGGCCTGGCTGCCAAGTGTATTAGTGTAAGGTACAGGTGCCAGGTGTGTCCTCCCTCGGCTATTAACCCCCCTGCAGCCGGCAGCCACGGCTCAGTTTGGGGTTGTGCTTTCTCTCTGAGGCAAGGTGATGAAATCTGTCTCTATCAAGGTGGTCAGAGTTGGACAATTCTGGAAGAAGATGAGGACTTTTACTCTACATTTAGCAGCTTGTGTCGCCTGCAGTTTGTCACTTGTGGCCGTGCTAGTTACACAAATTAGATAATGCACCAATCGGTGTGAAAACTGCTTGTTTGA